TTTCTCACTAATGATAAAAATGGCCTATTTTTGACAGTTCTAAACATATACAAAAGCATTCTGATTTTGGGGGCTTCGTTTTGGCCTGAATTTTATAGTTATTGCTCCTGAATACTACATATTTTGTGCCATAACTCCGCCGATTTTGAAAATTGGAAGAAGTTGATTAAACATTTTGTCAATTGAGAAAGTATCTGGAATCCATAGACAAGGCAAACGTAAAATCAAATGCTTAGCCAAGCTTGCCATGGATTCCATAAGACATCTTTGGCATTAAGGCAACTTCCAGAATTTTTACAACAGTACATTAATTGCATTTATTTTTCAGAATTGTCCCAACTCAGTTTGGCTTTGTTTCCTTCGGTGTCCCACTCTTTAACCCTACGATATTTAACCCCCTCTGCTTACACCCCCTATATCATAACCCCGTAACATGATAACCCCACAACAATTTAACCCCCTTTTAATGACGATAATTTGTTCCAAATTAAGTCTTTTTTATAAGTACAGGAGTAGTCCAATTAAGCTTACTAATTGAGGCCTGAAAAGCTAGTCTTAATTCACTTGATGCCTCTAGCATCTCAAAAGTAATTGCATTTCGATTAGTTAGAGAAATAATCCCTCACTCACGCGTTTAAAACAGAGATAACCTACATGGTGCTAATTGAAGGCAACAAAAGACGTTTGTGAGTTTTATAAAAAATCATACTGCCTATTTCTTTAACCATTGTTATACCACTCTATCAGATCAGATATAATGTTTGAAGCGTCATTCCATTTTACTTTATCTTCGAAAGATAAACAAATGCTAGTGGTATCAGGCCACGAGTATTACCTTAAACGAAAAAACAAAACAACAACAAATTGGAACTGATCAAAGTACCAAACCCATAAATGCCGCGCAACAGCAATTACGGATGGAGATAACTTCATTGAAACGAGGGGTCAACATAATCACGATATTTCCACGGGCAAACCTGATGCTCGACTAGTTTTGAAAAACATCAAGGAGCTAAGCGATAGTAACACCCCAACCGTCGCAGTCGCAACCGCCATTCAGCCAATTACAGACAACATTGCCACTCAACTAGCCCTACCATCCAAAGAACATTTAGTTCGCACCGCACAACGAGCGCGCAAGCAACGAGAAGAAGTCTTACCAGTCTCCCCAGCAAACAGAAGTTTCGAAATACCCGAACTTTTCAAAAATTTTATAAGATTTGACAGTGGGCAAAATGATCACGAGAGGATTATTTTATTCGGTGACCCTGAAATGCTACGTGTGCTTGAAACATCCAACTTTTGGTTGGCTGATGGAACTTTTAAAGTCACCCCGAAAATGTTTTATCAACTTTACTCCATACACGTTAGTCTTTCAGGATAAGCCCCTGCTTGCATATATGCGTTCCTGCCAAATAAAACAGAAAAAGTTTACCACCGTTTCTTAGAAGCCCTAAAAATACTAGTGCCTGATAGTAGACCTGAAAAAATTTTACTGGATTTTGAGCAGGCCGCTATTCAAGCGTTTCAGAAAAATTTTCCCGAGACCAAGTTGTCGGGATGTTTCTTCCATCTTTCACAAAGTTTTATGAGAAAAATCGGGGAGCTCAGATTGAAAAAGGATTACGAAACAAACCACGAGTTCGCTTTAGCACTCAAAATGTTACCCGCACTGGCTTTCGAAAAAGAAGAAGAAATAGGAAATTCAAATAGTTTGCGATCGCACTATAAAAGAGTCGGAAAAAATAGCGAAAGTTGACGAGCTTTGCCTTTATTTTGGATCTAACTACATAAAAAGTCTCGTCCCGAATCGGGAAGCCCTATTCCCCCCTTCATTATGGAATCAAAGGGATGCGGCATCATCGGGTTTGGCCAGAACAACAAATGCTGTAGAGGGCTGGCATTATGGCATACAGTCATACTTCAGTGGATCGCATCCCAGTATATGGAAAGTGATTGCAAATTTGCAAAAAGACGCGTCCGTCCAAAAACTTAATTTCTATAACGCCTCGAGTGGGCATCAATTTACAAAAAAGAAAAAATACCGGGTGCTCAACGAAAAAGTGCAGAATATTATGCATGTTTACGAAGAAAAAACTGATTTGCATTTCTTTCGCGCTATGGCGAACTTGAGTTAAATATTTGCTATTTAATTTATATTGCCAAGCAATAAAATTTTTTCCAAGTTTAATTATTTTCCTTGATTTTTCAAAATTGAGCTAGAGTCGATTTGAAACCGGCAAAATAATAAATACATACAAGGTGTTGACTTTTCTTTTCCCTCCGCCCAACCCTGTAAGGTTAACCCATTTATTGTACCCTTGATATACCCGTTATCATATTGACCCGAAATTCAACTTTTTTGGGAAAATTGGAAAATTTATTGTGCCGCCAGGAATTCGATCCTTTCAACTCTAGATTTTGAGACTAATGCTTTAACCATTATACCATGAGGCCTTTGGTTGTCATCCGAAAATTTCTTCCAAGTTTGGCTCTTTGATCTTAATTAAGCCCATGTTTGAGTTTTCAAAGCGTAGATCAATTCTGTCGGCGCCAAAAGATCAAGGTCGAGAAATTCAAATGGTTTTGGACTGTTTTGTATATGCACCAGTTTGAATCATGTCGGTCGGATTCGTTTTCAAGTTCATATCAAAGTCTAGACTATCGGCAAGGTCATTTCTGTTCAAATCTAAAACGCATTTAGCAGCGTGCGTGTTAACTCATTTTGGTTCGCAAAATTTTTCGCAATTAAAGCTTTGATGTTTACCGACGATATGGTTCCGAATCCTTTTCAAGTAACTTTCACTTTGATTCTAACAATTGGTTTTAAAAAGGGGTTAAATTGTAGTGGGGTTATCTGATTTGGGGGTTATATGAGAGGGGGTTAAGAAAAAGGGGGTTACAAAACACGGGGTGATAAGCTTGGGAACCGTTTCCTTCACCCCCACTTCACACAAGCATCAATTTTATGATTTAATGAGTGGTTTTACTAGGTTCATTATGAAGACCAAATATTTTTGTCATGGCCTAATTTATTTTTCTTAAAGAGTTCTCAGTTTTTTTCGCAAAACTTTTAAAATATTTTATACAAGCCTAGAACTATCAGTTGACAAAAAAAAAACTAAACAAATTGCAAGCGCTTTATCAAAAACTGCCGACTATAATGACAAACAGTGGAACTCGTTGGCAAAAACCAAAAAAAAATGTTCGAGAGGTAATGCTGCTGAAACCAGCCTCTAGTTCAATTCTTTTTATCGGCCAAAACTTTTTTGGTTCAGCTGACCTCAAAAAAAGTAATAGCTTTTTGTGAAGGCCTCATTTGTTATTACTTTTTTGAAAATTCAGCACTCGGATTGAAATTCAGATTCATTAAAACCCCATTTTGTGCTTAGCTTGGTTACAAAACTAAGATTTGCGTTGTAAGTAAATTGACTTTGAATTGACTTTTAACTGACTTTAAATTGAGGCCAACAAAGTTCTAGGAGGGTAAAACTTCTAAAAGCTTGTCTAGCACGTTTAAAATTTGTTTTTAAGCAAAGGTTTTGATAATATAGTAAAAGTGGCTTTTATATTGACTTTAAATTGAGTTTAAATTGTCTTTAAATTGACTTTGAACAAATCTTGTGCGAAATAAAAAGATCGATTTACATTAGAATACACTCGGTTTTTACCGAAGAAAAAAAACAGTCTATGGATTAATTCTAGGAAGAGGATATAAAACGGAACTATGTATCAATGAAGGGCTGATGTATCAAAAAACGGAACTAAAATTGTCATTGACTCAGCAACTATTTTTTTTGTGCCCTAGAAGAAATTATTCAGAAGTAGACGACTGAAAGAGTGTATTCGGTTTGCATTGCTCCTCTGACTGCTCTATAGTTAATGCCAAATTGCTGGCACTATCGGTGACCTTCAGCTGTCAAATCGGTCAAAAGCTATAGCGGAAAAAAACACAAAAACATAAACTTCGCATGTAATAAATTCGAAAATATCAAACTAAATTTTGTATAAAATACTTCAAAAAGTTGCAAAAAAAGACGAGTTGGAAAAACTCTGAAAATTAAATGCTGTTAATGTACTGTTGTAGAAACGCTGAAAGTTGCGTTAATGGCGACGGTGTGTTATGGAATCCAAGGCAAGCTTGGCTAAGTATTTGTCTCTTTATTTGCCTTGTATGTGGATTCCAGATAGTTTCTCGATTGACAAAATCAATACTCGATTGTGACAAACTTCTAGCAATTTTTTTTCTTGACAAAGCGCACAATCTTTTTCCTTTCGATTTTCAAAAACAGAAAGAAATTTTTGACACGCTCGAGCGACTCGCTCTAAGTGCTCTGCCCAGTAAGTGTGCAATCGGTTTGATTAGAACAAAGTCAACCGCAGTCGGGCCTTGAGCTGTCTGGGCCACCCAGTTAATTTGACAAATTTTTAATAACTGTACATACAAATTCAAGTACTAAAAATTTTAAAAAAAGGTTTTAAATTAATTTGATTCAAAATGATAACTTCCGCCCAATTTAAACAACAAATGATATCGATTATAATTAGTTTAAAGTCAATATCTTGAGATAATTTATTCAAGTCGGAATTGGAAAAGTACAACTCGGTAGCATTGGAGCTAAATGCGCCTTCAGTTTTTTTTAGCAACGGTCAACTAAAGATTATCTAATAAAAATTTCTTTAAAAAAATTATCTAGCTAAGATTAAAATAGTACTAAAGGATCTTCCCTTTGGGCGGCCAGGGGTCAAAATCCCAAGTTTCTGATCCTCTTTGATCCATCATTGACTTTAACCATACAAAAAAAAATTCTCGATAAATTGAAGTTTCATGTTCTCTAAGTATGCTTTTATTATATCAATATTAAGATAACGTGTAACTCTCCGACCTAAAAATCAACCAAAAAAAATCTAAAACTTGTGGTCTGAATTTTCAGAGACATTCAGCAATTATTAATTTGGGTGCACCTTTCTTTTATCTCTGTTCTTTATGTGCAGAAAAGTCACCAATAAATACTTCAATTTGATAAATTTCAGTTTCATTTTCACCTCAACCTGCAATTCAATCATCAAATATCGCAATATAAGGAAACCACACTGCTTATATTTTGCAATTAGAATAGAAATGCTCATCAGTTCCAGAAGAGAAACACACCGCTAATTTGGGGTCAGAATAAAAACACACCGTTAGAAACACCGTTCCCTCATACATCACATAGGCTGTCCCTAGTTGTTTGACGAGATATATTAAAATTAAGTGTTTTAGGTGTCGCACCATATATTTATTCTCATAATCCAGCTTTTTACAGTTTCAACTGTGGTGTCATGCTGCACTGTCGTGACACAATTGTAAAATCATCACTTAGTTATAACAGATCGGGAGCCCATCGAAGGGGTTCAAATAGGCCGAATCATTCAGCTCGAGGTAGTTTTCATACGAGAACACAGGAGAGTTGTCATTCATCATATTCGATCCACCAGCGTAGGCGCAAATTAGGATGTAATCATCATAAGGACCGCATGTAGACTGGTAACATCCCATTTTTGTGATATCATGCCACATCATCTAAAATTGAAACGGGAGCTAGGATAAACAGATAACCAAAATCGAAAAGAAGCAAATTAAATGCAACCTTTAAAATGAAAACAGATAGAAAACAGTCGATTGAAAACAGATATCTAAATAAATTTACAAGATAATCGTAGATTGTTGGTCCGTAAAAAATGTTTGATAATAGGTAAAATCGCTTAAGAATTTTTCCAAATGACAGCTTCTTCCAAAACTGTTTTTGTTCTTTTCTTATTTGGGATCTTTTTAACTATTCCCTCCCTTTGGGCAGTTGCTATGCAAACCTGTTACTGAGTTTATCTCTTCTAATAATGTTTGAACTAAAGCCTTATATAATTTGTGAAAAAATGGGGGTAATTTAAAATCATGTTGCAATTTTCAGTTCTTAATTTGTATCAAAAGAAGCTCTGATTTAGAATCATGTCCAGGCCCTTTTAATATTTATGATTAATATTGAAGAATGAAAACTGAAAAAAGGTGAAGTTAACTTTTACCAAGATGCTTCTAAGTTTTTTGCGTAGACTTACCTTCCTGAATGGGTCGGCTTCCGAATGATAGATCGTGTTGCGCATGCAAGTCTCACTTGATGCATAAGTATAGTGTGGCCCCGCAACAACATTCCCCCCTTGGTTTCTCACGGGAAACTTGAGCATTCCTACTGTGTCGAACCTGAAAACATTTCAAGCTGTTTAAATTGTCCATAACTTGAGCTATTAACCTTTGTATCAACATGGAACAGTCTTCAAACAAACTGTTCACGGAGAGTCAAAGTTTTAGCTGATACGCGACACCAAGTTAGGCTATGATTCACTGTAAGTTTTGCACTCGTATATCAAATCGCAAAATCAAAATTTGAGTGGCACAACTTGATTGCTAAAAAATTATCTGAAAAAATGAAAACTAACACGACATAGTTTCACTCATTTGAACCAATTGCGAAATCCTAGAAGCCGTGTAAATGAAAAAGTTTAAACAATTTTGCCAGTCGGCCAAATTGATTTCATCAACTTTTTCTGAACCAAAGAAGGACTGCGTTTTGCTATAGTTTTATGCACCTGCTCGCAAACTTTGACAAAAAGGATCTACTCAAAATAAACATGTTGGCAACGATATTTAGTCATCCCTCTCTAAATGCCCGTGCCTGCATGAGACTATATCGAGCTACGAGATAGAAGAGTGTCCGTTCTTACCATTCCCGTTTCACGATCCAGGCACCCGAGTCTTCAGAGTTTCGCCCGGCAGGGTACCAATTCATTGAATCGAACACGTTAATCATCACGTCTTCCCCACAGTGCTCCATAAAGTAAGTCTTTTTGGTCTCTTCAAACATGAATTCCGGAAAGCATTCTCTAGCCATGTGCATATCATATAACAGGATGCCCGCAGCTGCCGCTGTAATATGCGATACGCTCAAGTACTCATTCTAAATTAGTTCCCAAGTACTCTTCATTTAAATTATCCGGAAAAAAAACGAACAAAGTTTTGAAAATTTGAATCAGCACTGTAATGTTACTGTTACTGTTTGAAAAAATTAATGTTAGCTTTTATTTTAAAAATATGAATAAATATGAGTGTATTGTCGCCGCAGTACAAGCAAAACTGCCCACCAATCAAAAGTGTTCAACTAATCTGACAATTAACCTATCCAATAGCGGAAAATTTGTTCGAAAATTCCAAAAAAAAAATCTCTCTAATTTCGACCAGTTTTTTGCTGTTTCTGAAGCGTTTAATGTCAAGCCAGAAGCGAAATTAAAAGTGATAACTATGGGCAGCTAAAGGCTGAGAAATTAATTTCATGATGTTTTTGAAGTATTAATTTCCATTAAAAAATCTTTTTTGAGGAAGAGTTTTCGAACACATGATAGGTGGCCATATACTGTACCTGAAAAACAGAACGAGCTTTCCACTATTTTGCTAAGAGCACTCAGACAAAAACATGTTTGGAATCCTTGTTGCGCAATTTTTATTTGCTCAAAATGAGCTAAACAATGAAATCTAATTAATTCAGTATTCCGAAGAAAATGACGGAATAATTGTAATGGGGTCAGATTTTTCTCCTTTAAAATTTGCCGCACTAGAGTTTCATTGAGAAAACCCTATTTAAGTCAAATCGATTGAAAAAATCGATTGAAAAAGTAAAAATCCATTGAAAAAATTAAACCTATCTTGTAGTCGTTTTAAAAAATTGTTGGGGCTTCACATTTGTCATTGTTGACAACTTGATACAATTGATGAAATTTGTTTCTTTTAGCCCTTAAGATAATTGACGTTTTACTCCAGCTCAAAAAACTCTTTCAAATCGGTTTAGGTAAGCCATGTTGAAAAATTTGAAATTCGAATAGACTTACACAAGCAGTTGTCCCAAACTATTGGCTGCAGTCCAGCTGCGCTCCTCAAAAAGCTAGTTTCACATACAATTCCCTTGGAATAGTTGTCCTCCAATGACATAGCTACAGCCCAAGGACGAGTATTGGTGGATACAAAACCGAACCGTCGGTCCCAAGTTAGGTTGCCATATACCTAAATATTAAAAAAGACATGGTAATTGTGGATCAAGATAAAGACATCCAGAATTTTTTTAAAAATTTTTTTAGTCTTCATAAGACATTCGTCGGTAGTCTATTTTAAACTATTTCCATGTTTCAAGATTTGAAAAAGTATATTGAAACGTTAAATTGATTCAGTTATATGCAAAGCCTGAATCAGCAAAGCCTATGAGAAACATGATTGACGAAGTTCCTTCGATTAAGCGAAAATCAAAGATCTTCAAAAATTTTTAGCTTTTTTTTATTCCATTCAGAAGACTGTCGAAAATCAGACAAAACTGCAATTTTCAAGTTACTGATATTTCACGATTGCTGAATTGTGTAATAATAATATTTTATGTTTGATTGACTGAGAAGAATTGGGATTATCGCGACAATCTATAATTAACAGAAACAAATACAACAAAATTGCTCGTATCAGGGTGAAGCCCTAAATGTTCCGACTGCTTTTTAAGGTCTATGGAACCATAATAACATTAAAAAACTAAATGTAATAAAAAATAATTCCTTTTTTATGTGAGATTTTTCGTGAAAATCATCTCCCACGTGCCATTATAAAGCAAACACGATGGGATAAATTTCGCTGAGTTACAAATCAGTTAAGGCAAATAAGCTTCCTTCAGCCAATTTGGAACGATTTCTAAGACGGATTAAATCTCCGCTCGTGCGTTAGTAGTGCGAAATATATCGCGCGTTAATTGTCCCAAATTAGCCAAAATAGCAAAATTTAAACCCGCATAATTTATACAAAAAATGATTACAGGTAAAATATCTTTCAACATTTAAGCTCGAGACAACAAAACCTTTTGAATGATTTTAAAAGTTCCGTCAAAAATGGCTAGTTACAACGTCAAAATTTGTCTTAAGAAAAAAAAACACCCCGAGCACAAATATTCCGTTACTTTCTCTACGAAAGTCGGAACAATTATATCTCATTTCGATAAAATCTTTTTTGAGAAGTTTACATTTGAGATACAATTCGCTTTATGCCTCATTGAAGACATCGACTCTCTTAAATCAATTTAAAATATCAGGTAAAATATCTTTCAAAATTTAAGCTCGAGACAACAAAACCTTTTGAATGATTTTAAAAGTTCCGTCAAAAATGGCTAGTTACAACGTCAAAATTTGTCTTAAGAAAAAAAACACCCCGAGCACAAATATTCCGTTACTTTCTTTACGAAAGTATGAACAATTATATCTCATTTCGTTAAAATCTTTTTTGAGATGTTTACATTTGAGATATGATTCGCTTTATGCCTCATTGAAGACATCGACTCTCTTAAATCAATTTAAAATAAAATTAATTTACGTCCGATTATTTTTTTTGAAAATTTTGGTAGCTTGAAAGTTGCCAATTTGGCAATGCTTTGAACTTATTTATGCTCACATATCAGTTTTTATCAATAAATTTGAAAGTGTAACGCAAATTATTTATGCGTGGCGATTTTACCGCTCAATAAAATTGTTCCAAATTGAATTGAGGCTCGCTAATCGGTCGTATTAGTTTCTGATATTGTCTGAATTAGTCTTTCTTAGTTTCTGAATTGAGGCTCCCTAATCGTGTGTATTAGTTTATGATATTGTCCAAAAAAATTATTCAGTATTTTCTTCTCCCACAAATCTATATGATATCGATTGAAGGGCATTAAGAACAATCAGGGCTTTGCCCTGATATACGAGCAGTTTTGTTGGTTTTAATAATTCTATACATGACTCAAATTGTAGCAGTTAATTTCTTATAATATCAGCCTAAATTGCACTATTTGGCTATTCGGCCAAAAACTAACAGCGGTGTTCTGTGAAAGTTTTTGTAACAATTTTTTCATTTCATTTGCTGTCGCTTCATTTTGAATCAACAGCAAATTTTTGGTTTCTAGTTCTTTTTGATTAAACAATTTGGCTCAGAACTATAAAAAAAAGTTAGTATTAACTATCAAAAAGAACGTACCTTTTGATAATAACCTGCATTTTTCAGCTCCATCCATCGGTTTGGGAAATCGGTATTCCCACTAAAATAAGATGAAATTCATCTATTACTATAAAATCGTTAAATGATTTTCTTAGCATCCTTTTAAAATATATTTAACGTATCTAAGCTTTCAATGACCCTATTATTTTCAGAGCTGGTAAGCGTATGTGTAACTGTTGGTAGATCGAGTTCTGTTCATTCGTCGAAGCGTTATCGTATTTTGAACGAAAGAAACGATTACCCATAAGTAGTTGGAACAAAACTTACCATTGCATTGTAAAAGGGTCCTGTTTGGGAGCGGCGTAGGAACAATCAGCAACTCTTGGATCACTATTGGGGAGATCCTGAAAATATATGATCACATGAGAATTATAAAAAAGATTTTCCAATCGTTGATCATCAAACAGAAAGAAAATTTTCAAATCATTTTTCTCAGCATTAGGAACTGATTTTTCAAGTTTTCCACACAAATTACATGATGACCAAATGTGTTTGTGAGTAGATACAACGACATTTTTTGGGCTACTCGAATTCCATTGCATAAGTTGAAAAAATTGTATGAAAGTTCTATGACTACTTTTTTTCATGCTATGTAACTGTATGATAAACATCCTGCAATTATTGGATGGAATAGTATCAATTGTATTGAATCTTTGGTTTGAAAATTTTTGATGATTAAACCAGGATGAGCAATCTCCCTTTTCTTTAAATTTTTATTTGCCTAAGTTTTTGATAATGATACGAACTTAGGTACCCTTTAACCTAACTGAAACTTTAAAAAAAAAAACTTTTTTCTTTTTTTTGAAGTATTTTGAAAATTTCCAAATTTTGGCAATTTTTTTTCCAAATTATCCTCAAGAATGTGCTAGAAACACCTAAAAACTTTATAAAATCAATTTTTCTTGTTTTATAAGCTTTCTCGCTTGCTTTATTTGCTCGAAATAAGACTATAAATCCCTAATTCGAAACCAGTTTTTCTCGACTTAGAGAAAATTTTTGGAAATTTTCTGAAGTCAGTAGTATGCCGACTGAAAAGCTTTGATCAGACATATCTCTCGATCGATTTCGATTAAAGTTTCTAATTTCTGGTATTGCAACAATAAAAAACACTCTGAAGACAAACATTTCTGTCCGTTCTTAATGGTCGGAACACAAATGGACTATATGAAAAAAGGGCTCAAAAGTGAAAATCAACTCCATAGAGACCATTTTAAAAAAACTCCATTTGCGCCTAAAATCTTAAACTATAAATCCCTAATTCGAAACCAGATTTTCTCGACTTCGAAAAATCAACCGAACCAGGAGCTGGGTTGATTCAGCTCCTCCGCATAGAATTTTTTCCCGGGTAATTAGGAAACACAAAACCAAAAATAGGTGAAAGAACCCACATTTTGTCCCAAACGCCAGCAGTATTAAAACACAATGAAAGTGAAACTTACCGTGTCACACAACTTTTTTGAGTAATGACACAACTTGGAGTTGGCGCAGTCATGGTCATTGAAGCAACGATCATTTTTACCACCTTGGTATGGGTACTTCCGAAGAGTCTCTGAAACAGTCAAATTCTTTATGTGATTTTTCTTTCAGTATTTTGGTAAAGGGTCTTTCTTAACCGAGAAAATGCACCACTAAGGTTGGTCTTGTTCCATTTTCTGAACTTTTTCATTCGAGCAAATGGCTCTTTTTGCTTATCACATCAAAAATCAGTTTTTCTCACCTCTAACTAACTCTTTTGCTCCTATCTTATCAGAATCAGCCAATCAAATTTCAGCTCAATCTCAAAATGATTGTTCAAAAATTTCAGTCGACATAAAAATAAGCCGAAATGGTCAAAAATATTGACTACAATATCAACCAATTCAAATAATTCAAAAGTATTTCAAATAAGCTGCATAGGTTTACCAGACCAGAAAAAAGCAGAAAATAATTCCAAAAAATACTACCGTCTCATCAGCTCAAATGTTGGCCTCTTGTTAGAAATCGGCTTAATAATATAGTGATCGCCTTTCTTTTAACCAAAACAATAATTGCGATCAGAGTTTTGCTCTTTGCATTTGTGCATTAAATATTTTTCAAAACCCGAAACTACGAAATTTGGGTGAAACAAGTAAAAATACCTTTTTTTCTTTTTGACCTCTCTCTTTAATTTTGGGCGCTAAAAATAAGAGAGCTAGTCTACGTTTATTTGTCGAAATTGAGCAAGCATTTCCATATAAAAGGTGCCCATGGCCCTCTCGAACTTGATTGCTATGCTAGAGATCTGTAAAACACTTTGGAACATTGCAATCATTTGAACCAGCGAAGCATCCGAACCCGGGTCGAGCTCCACGACTTAAGAAAAAACTCTTTAAGTCGCGGCGCCACAAACCGTTTTTCAGACTAAATTTCGTACTCGCGCCGTCAGTCTTTTCTTAAGCATTGAAGTTTCATTACTGTATCGAGAAGGAAGCTACTGACCTGTTGTCCCGTACGATTGAGCGAAGAACTTATTGAAGCAGTATGCTGCCAGTTCAGACTCCGTCACTGCGAGGATCGAGTTCGCCCAGAGAAACATTATTGACAAAGAGAGGATCATTTCTGCGTCGGTGTACTACAAATTCAGTTGGAGAGAAGAGTGAAATTTTTTGGGTGATTATGTTGCTTTTTGGGAGATCACCGATTATATAGTGACTACAGGCTGTTCTATAATTGAACCAGATGCATTAATTGTTTTTCAACCACATGTCAATTACTCAAAAGTAACTCCCTTTATTATATAGTGAAATTTATCTCTTTAAAAGTTATCTCTGTTTAATTGAGCTTCCGCAATCTATCATCTGATGCAAGAGGTTAAAGATCGAACTCTTTTTTCTTGCCTTTTAAAAAGTTAAAACATAAAAATTTAATTTAAGAAACTTTTTTTAAATCGAAAAAATCTTCCGTTTGTCGATTTTTTTAATCCAAAATGAATTGACGTAAATACGAACAAAAATTGAAATTTTCAAACTTTTCGATCAATCATCATCGTTTTTATTGTTAAGAAGAAAAATTTACAAAACAAAACAAACGCTTAATGAAAAAGTAAAATTAGTCTGAACTCAGATAATTTTGAAGGTTCAGATAATTTTGAGGGTTATCTGCCGCTGCATCAGCCATTTATGCTCACTGGCAAACAACCAGTAGAGCAAAGTTCGAATTTACTCTAAATTTTTGGATTAAATTTTACTGAATTAAATTTTAAATGATGAAATGTTTGGTAATCTTACTTTTTTCCAGAAAAAAAACATGATCAGTCAATTTTTACCGCTTTTCCTTACATTGCACAATTTAACCTGCTATCAGTTTTTGTATAACAATAGAATGTCGCAAACATCTTGTCCGCAAACTGAATTTTTTTCGGAGCGTCTTGTTTCTAGTGTTCTAATAGCAATTTTAATTTCCGCGGGTAAATAATCTGGACCTATCAAGTCAATTTGAGCGGATAGCGAAAAAAGTTTGAAAAAACTGTAAAAAGGTGACTAATCTTGGACTTTGTATGCCTAAAAGAAGCACATGACCAATTGCAGTACCAAGCGTTTCATCATAAAAAACCAAACTTTCTTCGAAAACATAGAAAAAGTCGGAGTATTTGAGCTGAGGGTGGTTTTTTTCTCCAGACAAGTTTTGAATTGTTGAATTTTTAAATAGTCATTTATAGAACAACTTTATTTTATCATCCGAAAAAAAACTGTTGCCTTGAGCTCAAATTAAAAAAAGACTGCTCGTATCAGGGCGAAGCTCTGAATATTCCGACTGCCTTTAAGTTCCACGAAGCAAAGTTCGGTTCGTTTTTTAACAATTGCTGATTTTTTCAAAAAATATTTCTTTTCTAATTTGAGATTTTTAAAAAAATCAAACCAGATAAAAATTCAAAGAGATAGACTTCGCTCATAGTATCATAATAGTTCAAGGCAGATTGGCAGATAGCCCGATTCGACCAATTTGGAACAATTTCTAAGACGGATTAATTTTCCGCTAACGCGTCAAGAGCGCGAAATATATCGCGCATTTATTGTCCCGAATTGGCCAAATTGCAAGCTTTAAACCCCTATTGCTACTAAAAATGATCACAGGTGAATACTTTTTTTAAATTTTGTTTCCTGACAAAAATACTTTTCAGATGATATTTTTAGAAAACCTTCAGAAATGGCTAGCTAAAAAATCTAATTTTTTCTGAAGAAAAAAATCACTCAGCTAAAATATTCCAAAACTTTCTTCGAAAGTCAGAAGAAAAAAATACTTTGCCTGTGTTTAAATTATTTTAAGTTGTGAGTGTTTAAAATTTATCACTTTAGCAATTTTAGATTAGTCAAATTGCCTTTTTTATGCTATTAACTAATAAGCGAAAGTTGAATCTGTCTTAGAATTAACCCAAATCAATTGAAGGCATAGTTTTTGGCCCATTTTAAGTTTTGCAGTATGATAGTTTAAAAAAATTGCTCCACGAAAAAAAAAATTGGCAAAATTTGCTTATATTGGTTTGCTTATAGAAAAATATCGGTTGAAAATTTGCTCCACCTTTGCAAAAATATGATTATTGATTTCTGTTAAACTTAATAGAAATAAAAAAAAGTTTTGATATGTATGAGTTTGAAAGAATTGTTTACAACTTTGGCGAACTGATTTGGAATTTTTTGAGCAAAATTGTGACGCAAGAGTTCCAAATACTGGAAAACAGTATAATTGGGTTATCTATTAGAAGAAAGTTTTTTTATTTAAAATTCCCTAGAATGATATCAAGCGTTTGTAGACATAATAACAATTCAGATCTATTAATTTTTTTTGGCTTCCATTTACCATCATTTGAAGAAGTATATTCGAAAAGACCGACCGTTCAATAATGTGTGCAGCGTCTTTTTTTCCAAAAATCACCTAAATAAAAATACCTAATTTATTTTTTTCAACTAAACTTTTTTTAAATCAATTGTTTTACAGATAAAAAATGAAACTGTTTTGCAGATATGAAAAAGTTTTATATGCCAGAAACTTGTCCTAAAAGAGCTAAAGTGCTTTTTCTAGCCAAACCGAATAGAGGATTTAGGAAAAGCAAGAACTGCTGGCTTCAGCTTTTTTTTGCCAACCATTGTCGTCAATTTGTTTTTCTCAAACATCGGTTCTTTTTTTTCTGCGATTTTTTTTTAAAATTACCCAGGACGTTTTCGATTGCAGTTTTTTTTGAAAAAAAAATCAGATTAATTAGAGAAACATTGAATCTTTGCCAAAAAATTATGCACTAATAAAGGCTTCACAATTTAAGTTTCCACAATTGATAGCTCAACTTTTTCAAACTAACTGAAAGTTTTTAAATTGTGCTCGACACTGATAAACTTTTTGACTCTTCTTTCATGTCGATAGAATTGAGAGTCAAAAGGCCGTAAAATGAGATATAACTGAAATCCATCTGACGTTAATAGTTAGTACCTAATTTTCTGATCACAAAATCACCGCAGTCTTGGCGAAAAAAAAAGAAAAAAGGTTGTAGCTTAGTTTTTGGCACAATAACTTTTTCGTATTTTTGGGGCAAAAGGGTGGTGATAAAAGTTTTACGTTTGAGTTCTCAATCCGCTTCACATAACCTCCAATTTAATCAGTTTCAGTTGCTTCAATTTAAAAACTTTTATAAGTTGTTGACGTTTAGTTGCACTAGTTAATGAAGAGTGACATAACTCATCTCTGTAAATTAATCTAAAATCAATTATTTCAAATCGTTGCCAAACGCATCAAAATCTCGAAGGATGCTCAAGACCACGAAAAAAAAGAATTTTTGTATGATAGATTACTCATCATCAATTTACATTTACTTTTGGTAATTGGCTTTGCGTTCCGAAGTTTTTCTTGCTTTCAGTAGTTTGAACAAAAGTTTTCCCTTTCGCAATCCATACTAAACAAAAAGCAAAAACTTCGAAACTGTTTTCAATTGTATGATTCAATTATCTTATTTCATCACAAACTGTGTAATTTATGATTACCATACACTAAAAAACTACAGCTTTCTATTTTTTGAGTATTTTGAGTCAGTTTATCTTTTTCTCGTCATTGCACAGCCAGGGTTGACCTTTGCAAACAATGCTCTTTTTGAACCAATCATAAGTGAGCTCGTTCTGAACGTCGTCAAATGTGAAAATAGTGTCCATCATCTGCAATTTGGGCGGAAGAACGAAGTCGTGATAGTCCTTGACCCCATCCATCACAAGGGATCCTTTTCCGAAACCCAGCTCCGATATGATGTTATACTCAGAAGTCGAGTTGTAGCGCGCCTGAAAATTTGAGCTAAATTTGTTTTCCCCTCCTCTGAGAAGCATCAATAACATGTTAATACGTGCTCGTTGTTTAAAGAGGAAGCAACATTGCCCAGCCCAGAAAAAAAAAACCAAAATAATTGCGCGTAGATCTTAAACAGAGCACAACGAGCTGAACATATTGTATGTTGGTCCTTTACATTGTGGATAAATGTTCCGACGTTCGAAGAAAGTAAGGAATTATACATGCTCGAGTTTTTTTTATGTTCAGACCAATTCTCAAAATTAACTCCCTGGGGGAACCGATCCATCGCTCTTCTGTAAGAGCGCTGTGATACTTCGTTGCTCTTAAGTTTACGCGCACTATTTACGCGTGGCGAATTATCATGCACCACAAAACTGTTCCAAATTCAATTGAGGCTTGCTAATTGGTATTATTAATTCCCTACACGATTCATAGAGTTCAGCTTAAAATTCAAAGTTTTAAAATTCAATATTTCATTGACCAAAAACTATCCGAGACCAGTTTATGGACAGTCGGAACCTTCAGGGCTTTGCCCTGATACGAGCAGTCGTGCTGACTTAAGTGGTGGCCAATTTGCTAAATAATTGGATATTGATAGCAAAGTTTTTACAGGTGAAGATTGCAAGTTGGGGGGGGGGGGGGGGGGGGGGGAAGGGGGATAGCAAGAACATAAGTTGCAAAAGAGAAACGCAGTTTGATTTCGACTAGAAGAAACTTAATCAATAACTTTTAAATTTTTATTAGCCAACTGATGAACTACTTCAATTGCTTGAACATTATAACTGGAAAAACTTTTGGAGCCAAATTTCAAGTTACTCTTTTATCGGCTGATCATATATGGAGCGCTCTTTGATCTCAAAGCACCCTCATTGGAGTTCCGTGAATAAAAGTCTTTTATAGTTGACTTTCATTGTCAGTGTCGACAAAAATAAAAAAATCGAATATAATCCTTTTAATAAAATTATGGCTTTACTTTTTTTCGAGGCAACAAAAATTCAATTGTGATTTATTATAATCAATTTTTTTTCTTCATATTTATTGAAGACTGTTGATAAAACTCCATTATAATCAATTTTTTCCATTTTATTGTGCTTGGAATTTTAAAACAAAGGTTTTTCTACGTTTTAAATTAAAGTTGGTTACTTGTAGTTCAATTGAACTTTTTTCTGCGCAGCCTTGATCTTTTGATCGTTTTTTTTTTCAACAACTAACTTAAATTAATAAAAACTGGGGGGAGTGGGGGGGGGGGGGGGGGGATAAAACTGGAGGTCGACAAATCCCCTTTCCCTTACCCCCATAGCGTTTGCCCCTTTGCCACCTTTAAACCCCCCCCCCCCCCAATGTTTGCCCCTTTACCCCCTTTATCTTTTACCCCCAACTCATTCCCCCATCTGATCCAACCCCGCACACCTAAACCAACCCAACACCAGCCCCCCCGCCCCCACCTGAACCAACAGCTCCCCCAGCTTTTAAGTTTTTATAGAATCTATTATAATGGATTTCAAATGAAATATGATGCATTATATTTTTGCAGGAAAAAACGGGTTTAAATCCAATTTTAACCCAATTTTGTTGTCTGAGCGTAACATGATAATCGATAAATTTGATAAAAATTTAGACCACGAAAATCCAGTATAATCGATTTTTTTCACTTTTCTCAAATGAGGGTGGTATCACTTGGTCTCAAGTGGTAGCCGATTTTTCTATTTAATTGTACATTGTTTGCCAAATTTTACAGATTGGCGGAGAAGAGAAAAAGCATATATTGCAAAAAGTGAAACCTTGTTTGACTTCGACTAAAAACAAAACAAGACTACTCGTATCAGGGCGAAGCCCTGAAGGTTCCGACTGCCTTTTAAGGTTTTATGGAGCAGTAATAACATTAAAAAATTAAATGTAAGAAAAAATAAAATGAAAAAAATTTTTTCTAAAATTTGATTTTTTTTTGTGAAAATCATCCCCCCACACGCCATACAAAGTATAAAACGATAGATTTCGCTCCTTGTAACAAATCAGTTATGGCAAATAAGCTTCTGTTAACCAATTTGGAACGATTTTAAGACGGATTAACTCTCTGCTCACGCGTTAATAGCGCTAAATATATCGCGCGTTAATTGTCCCATATTGGCCAAAATGGCAATCTTTAAACCCGAAGTACCGAAAAGAGATGGGGTTTCCTATTTACCTGCCTCACGACTCGAGCAGTTCACATCGAGTTGGTTCCATCTCTCGATACTAGTTCGTGCGTCATGGGCGTAGAGCGATTTATTGCAAGGCGAGGTACCCCCAAAACCATTCTTTCTGACAATGGCACGAATTTTGTTGGTGCTCAAAAGGAGCTCCTATCCTGTGTCCAAAATTGGAACAAAGTCGCCCCGGCCGTTTTCGTCCACAAAGGCATTAAGTGGAAATTTAACCCGCCCAGTGCCCCTCATCACGGTGGCGCCTGGGAGCGGCTAGTGAGAAGTGTTAAGCGAGTGTTGTACGACATATTAGGCAACAGGAGATTAACTGAGGAAGTTCTAGGAACAACGCTCTGCCTAGTTGAACAATTACTTAACGCAAGACCGATCACTCCGGTCAGTTCCGATCCGCACGACCTAGAGGCACTCACCCTGAATTACTTCATTCTCGGTCACAGCGCAGCTAGCTTCCCGTCGTTAAGTTTCGAAGATAACTTTGATTATAAAAAGCGTTACGCCAGAGCACAATCGTACGCTAACGCAGTTTAGTCACGCTGGCTGCGTGAATATGTACCATCTCTCAACAAGAGAGCAAAGTGGCATAATGATTCGGATGTCACACTGAAAACCGGCGACTTGGTTTGGGTAGTCGAACCCGACAGCCCACGTGGGCATTACCCACTCGCCCGTATTGCTAAACTACACTACGGCAAAGACGGATGCGCCCGATCCGCCGATATCAAAACTGTTACGAGCGAGCTGATACGACCGAACGTAAAACTCGCACCTGTTCTTCTGTCTTTAGGGGCGGAGGATGTTGCAGCGCAAATGTAAATGTGCGAGAGTATAAATGCATAAAACTGAACCAAAATATAAATGCATATAGGGACAGTAGCCGAGCGTATACATGGTGCGTCCCGGCGGTTTCGGCGCCGGTTCGAACCCCGCCTAGGTCATTTCCTTTCTAGAACTCGAATGTGCACCGAACTTGATGGGATGCTCCGTAACCAGGTTCGGTCCCCCCAAAACCCATTTTAACCGTCTTTTCGCTCTAATTTGGTTCAGCCTTGGTTAAGGCTGACCTTTAAAAAGAGCAATTTGTCTCAAGGACAAATACTGGCCAATTTTGCAGCTTGCTTTGAGTTATGCAGTTTATTGTGGCCGATGTTACCGATGATAAAGCTTGTTAAACATTATAAATTATCCTTATTTTTTCAAATTTCCGGAGTTATTTTGCCGAGAAAATACTCATTAATTAAAGTGTTTAAAAACCGTTTTTTTATATAATCTTGGAGATTGACGCGCACAATTTCACCTGTGATCATTTTTCGTAAAGTTATGAGGGTTTAAAGATTGCCATTTTGGCCATTTTGACCAATTTGGGACAATTAACGCGCGATATAATTCGAGCTATTAACGCGTAAGCGGAGATTTAATCCTTCTTATAAATCGTTCCAAATTGGTTGAACGAAGCTGATTTGCCATAATAGATTTGTTACAAGGAACGAAATCTATCTTTTTGTACTTTAAATGGGGGGGGGGATGATTTTCATAAAAATTTCAAATTTTGGAAAAAAAAATTTCATTTTATTTTATTTAATTTTTTAATGTTATTACTGCCGCTTCATAAACCTTAAAAGACAGTCGGAACATTCAGGGCTTCGCCCTGATACGAGCAGTCTTGTTTGTTTTTGTTTTTAAAAGTAGCTGTAATGAATATAAGTAAAATTTAAAATTAAAAATCCAGTGATTAATTTCACACCTTGATTCGGTTGAGTTGCTTGTCGTTGTTTTGGTTGGAGAAGTCGGTGACTTTGTCGAAGTAGTCCTGCGGCGACACTCCATAGTTACAGCCATGACTCATGTACTCGTGCACTTGCGAGTTACAACAGGTGCCTAGAATAGGAAAATACATAGAAGTATGTAAAATTCAAAAACAAAATTGAAAAAAAGTTTTTGCAGTGTTAACCCTGTGTTCATGTGGTGTTCATGTGGGTCAACTGTCTTGAAGCGCATTTTGTGTAATTTTACTACTACATAAAGGCAATATTTACTCTGTATATTTTATACTTGGTTTATACCTGGTGGTTGGGGGATGGAAGAATAGCCGTTAAACACTATGACCGACATGAGTCGGTGGGACTATCTGAATAGTTGAGATACTTTGACCGAATTTCCTTTGACAGCGCTGAAAAGTGCACATTCAGTTCTCTTTCTAATCTCGAGCTAATTTTTCAAAATCATTACTTCAATTTCTCTGGGATTTCAAGCATTTATTAAGGTATAATAAATTAGTCTTGCAAGATAACCAATAAATATTACGGAACCAGTTTAAAACTAGTAATTAGATCCAATTATACTATTGATAAAACTATTGCTATAAAAAACTTCTGGGGGCTATTCTCATGCGCGAAAGACCGAATGCGCGAAAAATTTCAACCAATCAGAAATCGTTTAATATTCTACCGTTCTTACTGGAATAAAATTTACGATTTTAAATCGAAAAAAAAACAGTCGAAAGTCAATTATTAAAATGAATCAATTGCCAAAGTTGGATAATAAAACATATCAAATGAAATTGAATAATATATACAAATACCAAAAAAAAGACCAAAAAATTTACAAATTTCGAGAAACAATAGAAATATTGTTCAAAAAATGATCCAAAGTTATTACACGAGTTTCATTTGAATTTATTATCCTTCGTATTTTTGCGTTCAGTTGCAGCCAATTGATTTTTTGTGCTGTTAGTTTTTCGCCTCGTTCAATTCTGGAAAAAACTGTCTGCATTTTTTTTCTTGAAATTTTAGGATGGCCTGACACGGGCAATTTCTCGGTTTCAACTTGATAGCCAGCTTTTGCAGATACTAGCAGTTCGTAAATTGTAAACCTGTTAAATACATTCGACATTCCGATATTAATTTTTTTCATCCAAAAATTTTGAAAACAAGTAAAAAAATCTATAACTTTTGGCAAACCAACAGCAAGCGACTGAACTTGTTGGCTTTGTCTGAATTGATCGTAGTAACTTGCTACTAAATTCTGAGGAGTCCCATGGCGAAAATTTTCCGCGAAAAAATTTAAAATTTCTGATCATTTTTGTTTGAGTCAACCCTAGGGCTTGAAATCGACAATAAATGGGCTGGGTATAATGGAAATAGCAACCCTATTGAACTGTATAGGGTAAAATTTCTTGTACCGCCAAATTAAATCCAATCTCGAAGTCCGAAAAACTCTCTTTGTAACTTCCGTAAAATGAATTCGTACTACTGTCTTTGCTCTTTTCTTTTAAGAAGCGCCCAACGCACGGCATTTTTTTTTGTAACTTCCGTAAAATGAATTCGCATTCGTACGGGCTTTGTTGTTTTTCTTTGAGAAGTGCCCAACACACGGCATTTATGCGCTATCCAAAAACAGCAAAAATGTATGAATTTGCAAATAAAATAGTCGAGACGCAGTTTTAAATGTGACCTCGCAATTACTTGTATCCGTTTTCAACGAATTTTCTAAAACTTTATTCGTTGTAAAAATTGCTACACCCATGTCAGTGTTGAGATCAATCAAAAACTTTTCTTTTTGCTGAGATAAAGCCCAGGATCCATCAATTGTAATGTCAAAAATTTTTTGCGGCACTGGTGGCAGACATTATTTTCTCTCACGATATCAACTGTTTTTGACTTTTTGTTATTCATGGGGCAAAAAAATCACAGTTTTGTTTGCTGCGATAGTTTTTTTCGTAAATGATTTTCAAGCTTTCTGTTGGATGTTTTAGAACTATTTCAAAAGATAATTCTCGAAATTTGTTTTCGGCAATAAATTGACGATCGGGTTCGTGAGAACGATATTCGTCGAAAAAAATAATTAAATTTTTGGAAATGTTTGTAGTTAATTTGGCTTTGCAATCGGAATCGACCCATCTGTAATAAGTACGACATTTAGATATTTTATTTCTTGTATAACGAAACCCTTTGAATTTTAAATTTGTTTCAATTCGCCGGCGATCAGGGACAATTTGAAAATTTTGCATGTTTCTGCCGTTTTTGTATTCGGCCAATATTAATACTAAGTCCCTAGAAATAATTACTTTCTTTGAGATTATCGCGCTTTCTTTCCAGTTACTGAAATCTGATTGGCTGAATTTTGTTTTCGCGCATTCGGTCCTTCGCGTATAAGGGGTTCCGCCAATACTTCTTACTAACAAATCATGATCCATAACTAAGACTTACAATAGTTTGTAAAGCTGAAACTATTTATAATTTCAGTTTCAGCCAGAAAAGAATAAGTTTAAATTAGCAAACAGTTGCTCTTCTCCAGAAAATTTCCTCATATCTTATTTCGCAAATACCAGTATGCACTAGATCTATTGAGACTAGGAGATATAAGAGTAAGATTAGGATCGGTATTAGACTAAGAAGTTGCACGAATCCATCTGGCCGAAAATAAGATAGCGTTACGAACAGACGAGGTACCTTATCTGAAAATACTCTATGAGTAAGCCATTCCGGACTTAAACTCAGTAAACTTGTATTTGCTTTTGTGAAAAATTCACCGAATGATCTGGAGTCGAATGAGAACCAGTTGTAGTTCATCCACACCCCCTCAATCAGTGCAGTCCACGTGTCAAGGTCATCTGGCTGCACACACATCCGATTGCTCTGCACTGAATTGAACCAGTAGCCATGGAGACAGAACGAGTCACTGTCCAAAAAAAATCCTGTTATTTTTAGCCAAAAACAAAAATCATAGCGTATCATTGCAAAGTGAATAAAACAACCACAGGCTTCAACAATAATAGCAAGTTAGTAATAAATAAGTCGCCGTAAATGATCTCATTTAGCAAATTCGACAAACTTAATTGAATTTTTTGAAGGCCCCAGGCATGCTCATTTAGAGAGAAATCGCGATGACGCACAGGGATCAACGAAGATATTAAAATCAAACTTTTACCAACTACTGTTCACATTGTTCACAATTCTTTCACATACATTTTTTGTCAAATTGATAGCAGATTGATGAATTAATCGGTTGAGTCATTTTCAGCTATCGAGTGATAACCTTTTCTTTATTTTGAGGTAATTTTTCTAAAAAATTTTCTTCGTGGTAAGACTCTGAGTTCAGTTGACCGATAGGTGATTAATATATCATATTATAATATTTCTTGACAGCAATTTCTACGTCAAAAGGCCTAAAAATTGAATAAACAAAGTTGCCAAGGTTTTTAAGCTTGTCGACTCAACTATCGACCCTGGTTGGCTCATGTATCGACCCTGGTGGGCTCAAGTATCGATCCTGGTGGGTTCATGTATCGACCCTGGCTGACTCCTCTATCGATCCTGATCGGTTCAAATGTCGACCCTGTCGACCGTTATCCACCATGTTGCTTCAAGTCTCCACCCTGGTAGACTCATGTATCGACTCTTCTTGAGCATAATTGATCCTGGTCAACTTATGTATCGTCAAAATGAACCATGATTTTTGGTCGATCAGTATAAATCAGATGTCCTGTCGACCCACCCGGCGATACATAATCCGACCATATCAACCCGAGTGAGCGTAGGTGGCAGGAAGTTTGCCCTTTAACGCTCTTAGACGGATATAAACTTCTTACAACTTCAACAAAAACTTTTCGATAGTATAAAAATTATTTAAGTGGGGTGAACAAGATTGTTTTCTCACCTGACATTATAGCAAGTAATTCCTGCCCCATGAGTGTCGCCCTCATCCGGCAGAATAAATTCCAGCGTCTCCCAGTTGCTATCGGCATATTCATGGCCCTTCGATACCCACATAATCAGAGCTAAAATATAGAGTGCTGCTTCAAATTATCCGGACAAAACAAACAAAACATGTAAATTTAAAATATAATTTCTCAAATTGGGTCAATTTTTGGCAAAAAATTCTCAAATTCTGTTAATTTTAGGCCGAATGATCATTTTTGGAACTTTTTAGCTTCTTAGTTTATCAAAAATTACGCCAAAATTATTAGTTCAACTGCTGACCATCTATATCAAAGTAAGCGTCCTATTTAGGTTCCCAAAAGTTTAAAAGGGTTTCTTTTCGCCTTGGTATGAATAAATTTATTTTTCTTTGTTCGTCAAAAATGCCATTTGCGCTATAAAAATAATCAATTTTTATGCGTTTTGTGCCAATTTTTAGAGAATAAAACTTTCCTCAATTTTGTTGGGCTACATCAGAGTCGCACTGCAATCTAGTTTCGTCAGCAATTGAAGAATAGTTTTGGCGTAATTTTTGTTTGACTTAAAAGTTCCAAACAAATAATTTTTGGGGAAACCTTTTGGACTCGAATTTCGCAAATCAAATTACACCATGTAATTTCTGCTAAAATTCTAAGCAAAAATGTCAGCATCATTTTTTTACCTGAAATCAACCCAGTTTGAGAAAAACGCATTTTATTTTTCATGTTGTAATTGTTTTGTCCCGATAATTTAAAACAGCACATTAGTATATGTTACACGCATCAAGTGCTCTAAAAATACATCTCAAGAATCTGACCTACAAACCAGTCAGAGAAAACTAAAGTTGGTTTGAGAGGCCCTATTTAACCTCATTCTTCGCTTAAATTTACACACTATCTTCACTGGTTTAAAAAACATAGAAAAACTGATCAAAACTGCTTTGTGATTTTGGAAAACTCTTAATCGATAAACTCAGTCGACCTGAAATACAACTCTGAAAAAACTTAATAATTTTTTATCGAGATTTCCTTAATTTCATCATAATTCAAAACGTATATCTCATTCGCCGATAAAACTTAGGGCAAATTAGTTTTTATAAAACTAACTCCGAACAATTTTTTATAAACATTACACCCAACACACTATTGCGGCTTGTAAGATTCACGAAACGTCTCAAAAACCTCAAAAAAATCAATTTAGAAAAGTTTCCTTTCATCGATTTCATCTAACAATTTTAATAAACATCCTGTAAACTTTTATCCGATGACGTTTTTCAACTAAAATAACGCTCAGGAAAATTTCACATTTTCAGTTGTATCAAAAAGTTTTACATAGTTACAGTTTTCGATGTAACTAGTTTCGAGCAATCAATAACTTTCAGCAGTTTCCAATGAATAAATCGGGTAACGAAACTTTTGACTCTCTATGTGTTATTCTTTTTAACTTTTTTCTGATTCGTTTTGAGTCATCTCAGTGATTTTTTTATTCTGAGGGACTGAAGAATTTTACAATATGCACCAAAATGTTTTTCTAAATTCAGACCTGAACATTCTCAAATCATTTAGAACTCAGATGTTGTGCAGTTCTGACCCTCGTTTTTTGCAGATGCAGATATGCATATTTGATTTAGTTATTTGCCAGAGCTATGCTATGAACTTGACCAAGACATATCTAAACCTTGAACTGACATGTTCCAGACATGCAAGAAATTGAATGACATTTTCAGGCATGACTAAGCAATGAACTGATTTGTGCAGGCATAAACTGAAATTGGAGCTCTGACATGTTTCAAAAGTGAAACAGTTTCAAATTGATCGTTTTACAAGGTAACAGTGATCTACTGAAAGCAGTCTGTTTTTTAAAAGCAATCCACATTTCCTCAACAGAGCAAAATCATAAAAGATGTGAAAGTTTTTTTTTCTCTCCCCGAGAAAATATTCTTCGTATCGCCACTCCCACTAATTCATCAATCGCTCTTTGTTGTCCACTAACCCCCAACATCCTTCTGTTGTCCACTAACCCCCAAATTTGGTTAACATTATAAAAATTGCTCACAACCCTTTTTTAGCCAGGAAAGGGTCAGAAGAAAGCAGTGCTCTGGGAGAGGGCTGTTGGTTTGGAGATTTTAGATCCTACGACATCCTGTAACGGTCGACGATCACTAAGTTTTTCCATAACTTTTCGGTGCCAAAACAGTCATTTGAATGCTTTTGGACTGAGTCTTTTTTCAAAAACCCAATAAAAAGTAATTTTAGCCGTTTTTTTTAGTTTTGACTGCGCAGGTTACTTTTTAATAATTCGGAGCAATTTTTTGTTTCGCACTTTGAAGATCAAATTAATCAAATCAAATAAATTTGGTCGACAAAAAATTTTAAAAACAATGAAAAATTTTTTTCGAATTACTTCAAAATACTCATAATACTTCCCATTCGGAGAATTCAAAAATTACTGTGATTTATGATTATCAGAGGAAATTAAACATAAACTAAAAATATAAGGTTAAATTGAAAAAAAAAACTGAAGGCTTTTTAACTATTGAAGCGTTTTTGTTTGACGAAAGATATTTAAATTACAATGCGGTTTATTTTGCGTTCAATCAATCACTTAGAACTAACTGCGGCAGGATAAAATGAGTCTTTCTTTTTAGTTTTTGAAGCGCGTATAAACAAATCTTGCAAACCGTCAAAATTGGAACTGAATTACTTATAGTAAGATTCACGTCTGTTCAAAAACCGATTTTGTTTGAGTAATTTATCTGTTCACTGTTATTTTGATGGCTAAAGTTGGGATAGAAACAAGGCACAACTCATTAGAAACTAATCAACTAAAAATGTCTAATTTCGTTTAGGCTCCAAATGTTTCTATTTATTTATTTAAAATTTCTTTCAGTGCAGCCAACAAATGGGAAACGGTTCGTAAAGTCAATCTTCACAATATTTCACCCAGCAACCATCTGCAAATAAACACATCTAAGATCTGCCAGAGCGCTTCAAATCTATAATTTCCAGCAGAAAAACCATCTGAATGAGACTTTAACCTCATCCGAAGGGTCAAGTAGAAAGAATTTCACTCTAATCAACGACCTTGCTTTGTAAAAGTGTTTTTAACTTGAGCAGGGTTAGTTCTCTAAAAGTTCACTCAAATGTTATTGCAAAATTTTAACTCACATATTTGAAGAAAATGTATTAGACAAGATGCCATTTTTACAGTATCCGTTTATTCATAAAACTTCCGAATAGTTTTCTATTTCTCAGATATACAAGAATGTATTAATGAATGTATTGTGGTACAGATATGAGCATCACAGCTAGTATGCTCACAGCAAACTGTTGTCAATAACTCGAAGCTAAAGTAAATTTTTGGTAACGTTTATTGAATGCATTCAAAACTATCGAATCTAGTTAGAACTTTGGTTAAGATAAACCTTAAACACATTATCCAGTGTGGAGTTCATATTAGAACAAGACTGCTCGTATCAGGAAGAAGCCCTGAATGTTCCAACTGACTTTTAAGGTTTTATGGTGCAGTAATAACATGAAAAAATTAAATGTAATAAAATAAAATGAAATTTTTTTTTCTAAAATTTGAAATTTTTATGAAAATCATCCCCCCACACGCCATAAAAAGTACAACAGGATAAATTTAGCTCCTTGTAACAAATCAATTATGGCAAATAAGCTTCTTTCAACCAATTTTGAACAACTTCTAAGACGGATTAACTCTCCGCTTACGCGTTAAGAGTGCGAAATATATCGCGCGTTAGTTGTCCCAAATTGGTCAAAATGGCAATCTTCAAACCCCGTAACTTTACGAAAAATGATCATAGTGAAATCTTTTCAAGTTTTTTCACAGGTGAGATCTTTTCAAATCTGAGCTCAAGACAACAATACTTTTCGAATGAAATTAAAAAATTCCGTCAAAAATGGCTAGTTAAAAAGTCGAAATTTGTCTGAAGAAAAAAAAAACCCACCCCGAGCACAAATATTCCGTTACTTTCATATCGAAAGTCGGATCAACAAGAATGCTTGTATCAGGGCAAAAGTCTGAATGTTTCGACTGCTTTTTAAGGTTTATGGAGCAGTAGTAACATAAAAAAAGTAAATGTGACAAAATTTAATCAAAATTTTTTTTTCTCCAAAATTTGACATTTGTTGTGAAAATCATCCCCACACACGCCATGTAAACTACAAAAAGATAGATTTTGCTTCTTTTAACAAGTCAATTTTGAAAAATAAGCTTCTTTCAACCAATTTGGAACAACTTCTAAGACGGATTAACTCTCCGCTTACGCGTTAATAGCGCGAAATATATCGCGCGTTAGTTGTCCCAAATTGGTCAGAATGGCAATCTTTAAACCCCCTTAACTTTACGAAAAATGATCACAGCGAAATCTTTTTAAATCTTTTCACAGGTAAGATGTGTTCAAATTTGAGCTCAAGACAACAATACGTTTCGAATAAAAATAAAAAATTACGTCAAAAATGGCTAGTTAAAAAGTCGAAATTTGTCTGAAAAAAAAACACACCCCGAGCACAAATATACCGTTACTTTCGTATCGAAAGTCGGAACAACAAGAATGCTTGTATCAGGGCGAAGATCTGAATGTGTCGAATGCCTTTTAAGGTTTATGGAGCAGTAGTAACATAAAAAAAATAAAATGGACAAAATATAATAAAAAAAAATTTTCTCCAAAATTTGACATTTGTTGTAAAAATCATCCCCACACACGCCATGTAAACTACAAAAAGATAGATTTTGCTTCTTTTAACAGGTCAATTTTGAAAAATAAGCTTCTCTCAACCAATTTGGAACAACTTCTAAGACGGATTAACTCTCCGCTTACGCGTTAATAGAGCTAAACATATCGCGCGTTAGTTGTCCCAAAATGGTCAAAATGGCAATCTTTAAACCCCTTTAACTTTACGAAAAATGATCACAGTGAAATCTTTTCAAATCTTTTTACAGGTGAGATCTTTTCAAATTTGAGCTCAAGACAACAATACCTTTCGAATGTATATTAAAAAATTCCGTCAAAATTGGCTAGTTAAAAAGTCGAAATTTGTCTGAAGAAAAAAAAAACCCACCCCGAGCACAAATATTCCGTTACTTTCATATCGAAAGTCGGATCAACAAGAATGCTTGTATCAGGGCAAAAGTCTGAATGTTTCGACTGCCTTTTAAGGTTTATGGAGCAGTAGTAACATAAAAAAAATTAAATGTGACAAAATATAATCAAAAATTGTTTTCTCCAAAATTTGACATTTGTTGTGAAATCATCCCCACACACGCCTTGTAAACTAAAAAAAGATAGATTTTGCGTCTTTTAACACGTCAATGTTGACAAATAAGCTTCTTTCAACCAATTTGAAACGATTTCAATGACGGATTAAATATCCGCTCACGCGTTCATAGCGCGAAATAAAACGCGCGTTAATTGTCCTAAATTGGCCAAAATGGCAATCTTTAAACCCCCATAACTTTACGAAAAAATATCACCGGCGAAATATCTTTTCAAGTTTATTTGAACTCAAGACAACAATAGCTTTTGAATGATATGAAAAAAAAATCCGTCAAAAGTGGCCAGGTAAAAAGTCGTAATTTGTCTGAAAAAAAAACCCACCCCGAGCACAAATATTCCGTTACTTTCGTATCGAAAGTCGGAACAAAAAGTGAAAAAAAACACGACCATCGTCGATGAATTAATTATTTTCCATTGCCACAACAACAACTTTTAAGCTAATTTTTGAGCTGAGACAGCAATAGATAGTTTTTCAAATTCTGCAAAAACAAGCAACTACAGGAAATTGAACCCTCATCCGTTGTCTGATTAGATCTATACTCTACCTATGCTCCACGAGGTCTTAGCTTAATTGAAATTTTAGGGTTTAAAAACTCACACTTTTATTTGAAAGTTACTAAAATAGGATATAGAATTAAATATTTTAAGAAAATTTCTTAAATTTTAGGTCTGATTTTTACTGAATATGTCTGATTTTTGTGTCTGTATGCTCCCGGATTCCAGAGACAAGTCTTCAAATATCCCGGGTTGACCTGTATAAACCGAAAATGTTTATCTTAGATTTCCCCACACCGAAAATGCTTATCATACAATTGCCTACATCAAATGTATGGAAAAATGCTAATCATACAATTTTCATACAATTTTTAAATAAAAACCCAAGTAAAATTGAAATTGCCCCAAAATTTTTTTTTGTTTTTTTTTTCAACCTCAAATCGAATTTTGTACTCAAACAAACATTTTCCAAAAAAAAATTTGCATGCAAACTTTTAATTTTTTGTTTGCATAACGTAGTCCACGATGCACAAAAATTGGATTTTTTTTTTCGTTTCTCAGGATAACTTTTTTAAACAGGCTAAAATCTCTTGTTTTTTGTTGTATGGCATGTTTATATATGCCTTGATCAATTTATGATAATTTGAAAATTCAATTTAAAAAAAAATCAACTTGGAAAAATTTTGCCAAAATTTAAAAGTTTGATGCTTTCACTTTATCATTTGTGAAGTAATCACTTTTACAATTCAGATCATTTGCAATGCATTGTCGATGACAGACAACCAACCTTCTGGGAGGAAAATGTAGGGAAATGTAGGATAAGCCTTTTTTCGAATATGGAAATTGTAGGACAAGCATTTTTGGTCAACCCGGGATGTTAAAAGTTTGCCGGAACGATCAAAGAAAATAAAAAAACAAAATAAGAACAAAAGGAGCGTCCTTGTTGCGGAATCCGCTTGTAACTCACAAAATGCACAGTTTGGCCTCGTAATATTAGCGATGAGTAAAATTTCTGTATTAGTCATGAATCAGCGCTGGAAAGAGGTGATCACTGGGATACTTCAGAAAAAAGCAAAAACTTATGTTGGGACATCGAACCCGGATGTAAGTAACAGTGTTATATTTGCCTAACCGCAGCAAAATTTCTCAGTTTTTTATCTTTTAACTACCCGAGTTGACAAAAAATGCTAAAAAAAAATTTTTCATATATGGAAACATGCCAATCATTTACTTTTATGCGATTCCATAAGTATAGAAAATAGCATGAAAGTCCATGATTAGTGATATTTCATCTATGGAAATTGTTTAAGTAGGTGTTTTTTTTTAAATTTAATTTCTTCTCAAATTTTATGGATTGTCTTTGAAACCAAACAAAAATGCCTAGGACCCTGGTTACTCAAAGCTAGAGTCACCAAAGGCCTAAGATCTTGCAAGTATAATAGAGTTTTTTCTTTTTTTTCAGAACTTTTTTTCCTCAAATGCAACCCCTTCAAATATGAGATTTTGAGCTCAATGAGTGAAACGAGTTGAAAAGTTCCCAGGCATAAACATTTTGCCCAATTTGTTGACATAAAGTTAAAGGTTTTTTGACCGTTTTTTCAAATTTTTTTCCTATTCTCAATAACTACCATCACACAAATCTGAGATTTTGATTTTATTGTGTAGAAAAACTTGTGTGAAACTCATGTGCTTTAGCTGTTACTCTCAATTTTTTTTTGAAAAAAAAAGATATAATCCTCAAAAAGTCTATTTTCCGATGTTTGACAGTTTTTTGAAACTTTTTGACTTCTTCGAAACTATCCTCCCAACTTTGAGGTTTTGGTATCAATTGATAGTCCGGGTTGTGAGAAATTTCCCTGCTTACGAAATTAGCCCATTTTTTTCTACACGAGAAGGATTCTCAGAAAATTTATTCTTTTTTTAATTTATTAACCATTTTTTTTAAATTTTTTATTTTTCTCAAAAACTACCGTCAGAAAAAACCAAATTTTAGATTTTTCGTTCATTTTTTGATTTTTTTTTCAGTTTTCAATCAAAAAGATGGGTTCTGATAAGCTTTCTGTATCAGCGGCAACGCCCAGTTTTTCACGCACAAAAAATTATGACTATGTCGAAGTGGAGTGGGTTAAGCTGACCCCGATGTTTCTAATTACAGAAAATTACTTTCGCTCGGGTACAAAAATCAAAACTTAAAATTCTCAATTTAAGGGCTTCCCCTTGTCTCCCCAGGTAGGTAGGTACCCCGTACGAGTCCTTACAATGCTAATTTACCGCTTTTTAGGGGTTTGCGGGGGCCTTGCGGTCAAAAATGCGAAATGACCTCTTAGATGTGATCCGAGGTCAAATGAGGTCAAACGCGTCCAAACGTCTTATTTTCGATGGGAGATCATTCCCACTAAGTTGCATTCATATCGGACCATCCCTTCCCATATTTTCGAAAAATTCGGTTCAATTAACACTTTGCCCTAAAATTGCCTATTTCACCCCATAGGAAGTTCCGGAGAGGATTGGGTCACAAGGGGTCCCCCAACTGGGTTTGGTCCACCCCCCTTCACATTGGTG